AATTGAGCGTTTTTTAAAAGCACAACGAAACGAGGCACATTAGGTCGTGGACGTGAGGCATTCCACATGTTTGGAGGATGGTACCTAGGTGTAAATTAGGTCACTGCTTGTCGCCTGTGAGCAGGCAGGGCTTGTTGGATCAAGAACGGCAAGTTAGCGGAAAAGAGTCAAGTTATGCGGTGGGTGTCGCTTGTGGTTTCTCAGTCAGGAACTTGTGCCATCTGCATCAATTTGTACTGCGTCCACATTAAAAAATCATTTTGGAGGGCCTATTGTGATGTTGTAGTGGTCGTAAATGCAGGTTATGGTTGCAGAAGACAAAACAAGTCAGTGAAATAGTATACCTGTGAGATTTATAGCATGGCAAAATAACGTGAGAGCAAGACTCAATAACTGACTTACACCAAGTGAGAGCGACGGTTGTAAGTGATCAGCCTTGTGGCAGGTAATTGTGGATAAATGATTTGACTTTGTTACCTGCAAGATCGTGTCTACTTCGATGTGGTCAGTGTCAGTGACGCAGTTTTGCATCTAACAAAAAATCAATGTAATCGTAACGAGGAGGTTGTCAAGGTGTGCGGTATGTTGTGAATAGGAGCGCGTTGTCGGCGAGTGACATGAGTAAGGCTTGGTTTTTAGGCGTTGTAAGCAAACACGCATGATGAGGTGTGCGTAGCCGATAAGACCAGTTTAATTGATGGCGTTGGTGGTTGTGTAAGATGATTTTGTGGGTGTTTTGCGAAAAGAGTTAAATTTGAATGAGGTAAACATCCAAAGCAGCATGGTCCCCCAATTCTCTACTACTGGACATTTTTTATATTCCGCTTTGTTCTGCGAAAATATCACACTTTTGATTATGGACACCAGGATATCGAGCGTGCACTGTCGAAGGCATTGTAAGGCCTTTTGGCGCATTGAACTTGGCTGATTAGAAGCCAGTAACTGAGTTCATTGTAGTTGTGGTTTGGCGTTCAATTGAATCAGCAACTGAAAGGAAATGCATTCAGTATCTCCTTCGCAGACATCTGTGCATATTTCTATTGTACACTCTTTCTCTGCTAACAGTTTCTTCTGCAATGAATTTCTCTAATGCACTGCGACATGGTATACTGACAGGCGAAAATGTGAAATGCCAGGTTGTGCAATGGCGAGAAGTCAGTTGAAAGGAATCATTGAGTTGACTGAGGATCAGCTGCAGAGTACGTAATAGCCTATGTGTGACAGTGACTTGTGCATGCACGGATTGTGCATCGATTTGTCACAAGTTGGCATCATAGAAAATCACTAATGAACCACCCAATTGCATGGATTGGTGAACAGATCTTGCGCTAAATTGCATAATCCAACTAAATAAGTAGTCAGTGAACAGTGGATGGTTAAATGCAAACAAAACATCAAAATTGTCCCTGTTTATCTTCTAATTAGGCATCGTGCCGCCATATTTGCCAGTGTCAGCAGTTTGCCCAATTTTCTAATTTAGTGGTTTGAGCACGATTAGTGGCCTGGGCACGATTGGCGTGCTTCTGCAATTCCCCACGATGACAACAACAATTCACATCCGAATACAATCTGCACTGTTGAGATGTTTCTTTTTAATGAAATTGAATAACTACAAGTCCGCTCTCACCAACCTCCATTGTCACTGAGGTCTCGCGGTACACTCGATGTCACCATGCCATGATATTAAGTCAGCATTAGGTGTCATTTCAGAACAGGAAGATTTGCTTCATGTAGAATACTTGTAAGAGCCAAATGTGGAGAAGTCAGTGCTTGTAGGAGGAGGTATGTAGTCACACGCATAGTGGAAATAAAGCAGTTGATGTCGCCTCAAGCACGATTAGACAAATGAGATAGAAGCAAGGGGTAGACAATGAGTTGGCGATTGATCGTTGGCGGCTAGTGTCTTAGGCTACTTCGTCGATATCTGGCAATCCCTCAACTCGTGTGAATCTTACAAGCTCAGTTCGCGATCCGGCGTTTTTGAACACCTTTCAAACTAACAATCGCCAGCATTCTGCTTCGGATGCAGTGTGCCTGGCATCAAGCTGTGTCCTTATCCTTCGATTTTAGATCTATTTCTCATCACAAGAGGTCTATTTAGACCGAACGAATGTGCAGTCTGACTGATCTCACTCATGTCAATGCACAGTCAGTAGCACTTTTTTTATTTTGATTTTATATAATTGTCAACTGTGTTTCTGACACTGTCATTGAGTTTTGCCGCCACAATTTTGTTCCGGATTTGGTTAAGTGATCTTGTCGATGCGCAATCGCTTAGATACAACCTGGCTTCACCAATCTACTACTGTTAGGCTACTTGGTTTCCGGCTACCTCAAAAAAGAACCTCCATTTAGGTCTTTTTTTCAAAAGTGCTTTCTCCCTCAACTGCCATTCACGCGAAAAGTGTGACCGTTCAATCCGACTTTCGAATATTTCGATTGATTTAAACCGGATTCACGCCTGATTACTTGACTGATCTCGAAACCAACCTTATGTGGCCGTAGCCGTCTACGTAAGTAATTGAAGGCACCAAAAGTTAAAATATGTCTGAAAATGACAATCAAATGTGGTACAAATTGTGAACACCTGAGACTGATCAGAAATCCGACGAAGAAATGTTTCATCAACGACCATCAACGACTTGCTTCATTTGCAGTGAATTGATGTCAAGCTCAGTTGAGGTGTTTGACAAGCATTTCAGCAATGATGGTGGTGGTGAACGATACCACAGTTGGTCAGCAGCCTTTACTGAATTGAGCTGATGACAGTAAATTGTGGTTTGCTTATGATGAGTGTGGTTGTGTGTTAGTGAACGTTATAACCTAAAGGAGACACAATGACTGAGTTTGCAGTAGGTTATCAACAGTTGCAGACAACAAAGTGAGCATAGTTGATTAGCTTTCAAATTTTCAAAACCCTCTCTTATGTTGACAATGTGCAAGTCGGTTTCTGAAAGCCCCTGTGTGGAAAAATGTATATTAGCCAACTCTACTCGCCTTGATACTTGAAACTGATAAGAAGTAAATTCAGCACCGCAATCATATGTAAAAGAAATGGGTGAAGCGTTTGACGAAACACGCCTGCAATGGCTTCAATGACATCGTCTTTAATGAGAATAGCTATCTGCCAGCGAGAAAAACTGTCCATAGAAGTTAGGAAATAGGTGGTAAACGACAAGAACGGGGACGAGGTCCAATGAAATGTACTTGTACATGTCGGAAGCGCGCATTTATTGGGTTGCAAAATGTGCATATTGTGAAATATGGTTATCGTAAAATGTGCTAGGCTATCATTGTTAATGGGGTTAGGCTTATAAACGATCACCCTTACGAACGCTAGACCAAACGAAACTCTCACTTATCAAGCGCACTTAGCGCAAGCACCAGGATGTGGAAAAGAGTGAAGATGATGAAACAGCAGCTGCTTCACAAATACGTGTCAAGTCACCAAATGCAGTGGCTTGCATAGCACCACCTTACAACCACCAGTTTATGACTCGTACGACCCGGGTACTAGAAAGAAGAGAGGCGGCGGCGGCAGACACAGCTGTCTGTTAGCATCAGGCGAGTCTATTGTGATTTTGTGTGTGGACGAGTGAGCGGATGCTGGGTGTTTGGTAACAGTGACAAATGGAAAATAAGGATGGGTCATTGACCCAGTCAGGGCAGTGAACATCTTCCATTCATGAACATAACTAACTCGTTCCAAGGCTCTAGCGTACATTTGGATCAGCTTACAGAAATGGCTGATAACATCCACGCGTGTCTCACCCACGGAGAGGAAAATCTAACCATCTCCTCTGGTGCATCAGCTAACATTTAGCCAACCACCCACTAAGATTGGACGAGTTATCATCTAGACAGTGTGGTGAACTTTTACCAAACGAGCGGGAGTGACGCGCATTCACGAGTTGATCGAGCATCATCGACAGTCGATTTCATTTGACGTTCGAGCTGTACTTACGAGCTGTGCTACAAGACTTGGGTTGTCAAATGTAAGTAATGGATGATGTTCGTTATCATCTGTCTTGCCTTCTCGGACTGTTACGGACTCTTAACTAGCAGGCTCGTAAGGTAGCGCTAACCGAGCCGCTACGCATAGCAGGAAGTTCTCTCTAGCGACCGGAGACCTTGGTTAATGTTAGCGCGATGTTAGCGCACGTATGACTCACACACCCGAGGTGCAAATACAAACGCGCATACACCACACGCTGCACGACATCACCAACTAGGTTGAGTTCTGAAGCAAACGGTTGTGTCCACGTCCTCTCCCATCTTTTTCTTAATCGCGGGTATCCGAGAAGCGTAATTGGGCCATGGTTTATTTCCTGGCCCCGACTTGGTTCAAAACCATATGCTGGGGCCTCAACAGCTTATTCGCGACTAAACACAGCCATTTTGTTTATTTCTAGTTGGCTTGCCGTGTAAACGCGGCCGCAGCTGCTGAAAGCGCTGCTAACCAGCAACAGGGCCAGAATGCCGGTGCTGACGGGCTGAACGAACCCCTCGGCGGCGAGGACGAAGAAGACGAGTCTGATCAGGGGCTGACTTGCATAGCGTGAGAAGACCTCCTTCCTTCAGAACAACCTGGCCGAGTTGACTGAGGTGCACCAGCAGGTCCTCCATGGCAATGGTGAACTTAGCTCGGAGGTACTGACGCTGGAATAGGAACTGGGGCTTTGTCTTGTTTCTTTCACAATGTTGCTATCATTGTGTTTTGTTGAATCTTTAAACATCTTACAAACATCTGAAAATGTGAAGTAACTTTGTAATATGCAGATTGCGTTGTTTGATTTTGTATGATGTCCTGGTTTCGGAGTAAATGTCAGGCTATGTGCGTGATCCTCCCGGCGGTCTCGCAGAACACTGGGCGAAAATAAACGTGAACGTGGATGACGGGGTGTCACTGCATGCAAAACCATCACAATTAGAAAGGTGTGACTTCCCAGTAGCACTGTACGTGACCTACTGGAAAATGGGACAGTTGTATGGAACGGGAATCAATCAAATCACTGAGCAGTAAGGTGTTACCCTTTGTTTGCTAGACTAACTTTTTGCGCAATGGAATGGTATATCATCACTTAGTATGATTATCATTAACCAAGGTCTCCGGTCGCTAGAGAGAACTTCCTGCTATGCGTAGCGGCTCGGTTAGCGCTACCTTACAAGCCTGCTAGTTCAGAGTCCGTAACAGCCCGAGAAGGCAGTTTAGTTAAATGTTATTTGAATTTGTTGCAGGCTGATTAATTTGGCGTTTTTTAAAACCAAGTCCTGTTAAGTAACTGATGTGACTGCAGATGTCCATTTTTTGAAATGTTATGAACACATTGTCCTGTTTTAGTCAATTCACTTTTGCTTAAAACTAGTCCCAAACTAGATTGTTTTTGTTGTACTTTAAAAATTAGCTTAATACACTTCGTACCCAATATAATTAAATCGCAGTCATGCATCATTAACTCGTCCTTGTTAGCGAATGTTGACGACTTCATTATCGGTGTATTAATGCACTGAATTAAACGGTTGTGTCCACGTTCTCTCCGATCTTTTCTCCACCTCGGGTTTTGGGGAAAAGTAATTGGGTCAGGGTTAATTCCGCAGTAGCCTCGGGGTGGTTCGAGACCACATGCTGGGGTCGACAACGTGCATAAGGAAAGCTGACCGAATGGCCAGGCCAGGTGGTACACCCGAATCGGTGTTTGAGCAGAGGGTTTAACAAGATCGACAAAGGGTTAGGGTGGCGTAGAATGCAGCAGCCGAGTTGGTCGACGTGAATCAGCATGACTCACTGCTACTATCAAACATGTCTTTCTCTTCTGACTTCGAGGCTCTTTGTGACCATCATTCGATTTCACCACAGTCGATAAGTCCATGAGTTTGTGGCCCGTCGGTTCAACCTGCCTAACATTTCTGCCAGTGTTTTAACTGTCAAAGCAGCAGAAGCCAACTTAGAGCAACGATCTAGTGCCAAATTCAATAATCTTATTCAGGAAAGTAGTCATTTGACCGACGTATTTGAGCAGGAGCATTATGGCTAGGTTTGGTTCAGTTGAAATTCAGGAAACGCGATTTACAAAACAGTTTCCATTCAATGTTTGTATGATTTGCTGCACACAATCAGCAAATATTCTCTAGCTTTTGCTTCAGTAGTCAAACATTTAGGCCGGCGACACTTTCATTTAAACATGCCAAACACTGACGTCGTTGGCTGTAAATGATGCAATAGCATAAAACGCGAGGCTTAGTTACTCATTCATACGGCAAAAGTTGCTTTTTATTGTAAGGAGTCTGACAGCAAACGAATGCCTAGCAGAATAAGACATGTCGGCTTAATAGCAAACAGTCTACGACTATTCCAAAAGACTAAACTGTTGGCTAGGTT